CAAAGTTGTGTTCTACAGCTAAACAGAAATACTTAGTATATAATAATAGTTCATATGGCTAAATCGTTGGTACATTTCATATCGTTCAAAAATTTTTGAAAGAGTTTTAGGTATAGCCATCAAATTCTAGTTATAACAAGACTGCTCGTATTAGGGCGGAGCCCTGAATGCTCCGACTGCCCATTAAGGTTTATGGAGCAGTAATATCATTAAAAAATTAAAAGTAATAAAACAAAATAATTTTTTTTTCTTCAAAAATTTGAAATTTTTTATAAAAATCATCCCCCCCACACGCCATATAAAGTACAAAAGGATAGATTTCGCTTCTTGTAACAAATCAATTATGGCAAATAAGCTTCGTTAAATCAACTTGGAACGATTTCTAAGACGGATTAACTCTCCGCTTACGCGTTAATAGCGCGAAATATATCGCGCGTTAATTGTCCCAAATTGGCCAAAATGGCAATCTTTAAACCCCCTTTAACTTTACGAAAAATGATCACAGGTGAAATATCTTTTCAAATTTGAGCTCAACACAACAGTACCTTTCGAATGATATAAAAAAATTCCGTCAAAAATGGCTAGTTAAAAAGTCGAAATTTGTCTGAAGAAAAAAAAACCCCACCCCGAGCACAAATATTCCGTTACTTTCGTATCGAAAGTCGGAACAATTACTTTCGTATCGAAAGTCGGAACAACAAGTAATTCAGCCTGCTTTCTGATTTTCAATGGTGAATGTGCTGTTTCCGACATTAATATGGACACAACGCTCAAGGCTGATAAAATGATTACTAAAGGAAAATATATTAGACGTAGGAGCGAAATTGTCAAAGGAAATAAAAGCGGCAATGTTTTTTTCCACTGTGCGCCTTGAGAGAAGTCAATTAAACAAAAATAGCCAAAAACGTGACGTCTAAGGTGCTCTAAATGGAACCCTTTGCTTTTTGTTAGTCTTTTCTTCCGTCCTTTTGCTGGAAACGCTCGTCCTAGTACATATGGAGGTTGCATTCTGGTTCGTTTTTTGAAAAGAATTTTTCGTTACCTTCTGAGGCGATTACTCGGAAGCCGACATGATGCATCCGACACGCTAGATTTTCTCGAGCTTTTGGTATTTTGATAAAATAAAAGTTTAAATATTAATTACTGGCATAATTGATGATTTTTGTTGAGAATTGATAAAATGCAATGAGTATTTGAGTATTAAGTCTGCACCAAACGCTCGCGTTGATCATGTTCAAAAGCGTAACTATTTGAAAAATGAAAACAAGACGGCTCATATTAGGGCAAGGCCCTGGATGTTCCGACTGCCTTTTAAGGTCTATGGAGAGTAATAACCTGAAAAATTAATCTTCCGGTTTAAACTCAAAATATGGACTCTCAAAACCTTCTGGTTTTGGAGAAATCACGATTTTTCTGAAATTTGGAAAATCAATCAAACTTTTTAAAAAACGCTGCTCATATCAGGACAAAGCCCTGAATGTTCTGCCTGCCTTTTAAGGTCTATGCAGCAAAAATAACGTACAAAACAAAACGTAATTTTTTTTTGGAATTTGAGATTTTTGTGGAAATCATCTTCCCAATTTCCATACAAAGTACAAGGTGATAGATTTCACTCCTAGTAATAAATGAATCATGGCAAAAAAGCTTCATTCACCCAATTTGGAACAATTTCCAAGACGGATTAAATCTCCTCTTACGCGTTAATAGCGCGAAATATATAGCTCATTACTTGTCCCAAATTGGCCAAAATGGCTATCTTTAAACACCCATAACATTACAAAAAATGATCACAGGTGAAAAATCTTTCAAATTTAAGCTCAACAATACTTTTTGAATGAAAAAAAATTCATCAAAAATGTCGAGTTAAAAAGAAAGTCGCAATTTGCCTGAAAAAAAACCCCGAGCACCAATAATCCGTTACTTTAGATACGAAAGTCGGAATAACGAAGTTTATGATTTTTTATCACAATCAAAGTTTTCAAATGTGACCAGAAACTCGTTTTGAGATTAATGATTTTTCATGATTATCAAAGTTTTCAAATGGGACCAGAGACTCATTTTGAGTTTGGAGAAACAAAATTCAAAAATAAATTTTAAAAACCTGTTTTGGTTGTAAGAAACTGCGATTATTAAGAAACAGCAAAAAGCCAACTACGATAAATGATTTTTTTGGATCAACCGTACAATTTCTCCACAAATTGATTTGAGGGGGAGAAAATATGGATTTTTCAGAAATTAACTTTGAATATACTTTAAATTTATAAAAAAAAAAATAGGTTTTTTATTTAGAGAAAATTGATTAGTTAGTTTAGGTTATTAACAGCATTCAAATGCACGCCACATAAAAATTGTGAAATTAATATCAAGTTTAATACGTTGCTAGGGGCAAATTCTACAGTTGCTCACTTTGGGGTGGATTGTACGGTTGATCCATTTTTTTCTCTTTATTTTTATCATTAGTAAAATTTTATATTTCTCGTTTGCTTGAAAATGATTGTTGCAATAAACTTTGGGTGCTCTCAATATAGGCATGAAATATGTCTTTCGTGTTTTCTCTCCACTGTCAATTTTAACAAGACTGCTCGTATCAGGGTGAAGCCCTGAATGTTCCGACTGCCTTTCAAGGTTTATGGAGCAGTAATAACATTAAAAAGTTCAATGAAATCAAACAAAATGAAAAAAAAAATTTCTAAGATTGAAATTTTGTATGAAAATCATCCCCCCACATGCCATATTAAGTAGAAAAAGATAGGTTTCGCTCCTTGTAACAAACCAATTATGGCAAATAGGCTTCGTTCAACCAATTTGGAACGATCTCTAAGACGGATTAACTCTATTATGCGTTAATAGCGCGAAATATATCGCGCGTTAATTGTCCCAAATTGGCCCAAATGGCAATCTTTAAACCCCCGTAACTTTACAAAAAATGATTACAGGTGAAATATCTTTTCAAAATTGAGCTCAGGACAACAATACCTTTCGAATGATATTTAAAAAATCCGTCAAAAATGGCTAGTTAAAAAGTCGAAATTTGTCTGAAAAAAAAACCCACCCCGAGCACAAATATTCCGTTACTTTCGAAAGTGGGAACAATAATAATTGATAATAATTGAGTTAGACTTAATTTGATTTCGGAGAAATAAATTATCTTTCCTTTTCTTTCGTTCTGTTAAAAAAAAGGAATTTTCGCACGAGAAAATAGAACGATCCGCATAAGCGGTCAGTTGCTTTATTTTACGAGAAATCGTGAAAGATCCGTCATCATGTATATGGAGTTAACCACAAGGTTAAACTCAATGTTACCTATTTTTTAGTCGGCATCGTGCAACATTCATTCAAGATAGGCGGAAAATACGTTGTGCTTACCTTTTCGTAAAGAAAAGGGGAAATAGTATTGTCGCGTTAAGTGGTTACGCTCCTGCCCTAATCATCTTAGTCGTTTTTTCAAGTCCTTAATTAAAAGTTATGTAAGTTCGATTATTTCCATCCGGTTGTTAAATAATACGATGAAGCTGGCCGTGTTGACAGCTAATAGTTCTGATGTTCAGAAGCCATAATTGAAACGCCAAAAAATCTGATTTTGTTTCGGGCTCACAAAAGTCAGCAAGGCTTGGGAAGTAGCAAATTTCATCCAGAGCTGGCTGATTTTTTAAATCGAAGTTTGCTCAACGTGGAATGGTCTTTCGTAGTTAAACCCTTATTTCTTTTATGCTTGTGAGCCTTTTTGTTCGCTGTGCTGCTGGTGTCCAATATCGTTCAACCTCTTTTGTTGTAGAATTTTTATTCTGATTTTTTTTTTCAATTCGCAAATATTGACGTTTTTGCGTTGAAATAGTTTGTTTTCAGGATTCAAATTTTTCTCTTCGCGCCTAATCGTAGGGATCTTGCTTAACTGTTTTGGTTATGCAGTATAAATGTTTGAATTTTCTTCTCTCTTATGTCTTCGTTTTTGTAACGATAATATCGATTGCCAAATTAGAAGAAGTGATTTGTTAATTGCAGAAAAATAGTTGATGAAAAACTACTAAAATGTTTGAATTGTCTATGAGGGTCAGGTTATCGGCTTTTTAAAAAAAAACGGTGTGAAAAAATTGATCAAATTTACAAACTTCTTAGGTTTTTGAAAAATCCAGGCTACCAAATTATGGAAATCAACCATTTCAATTGTAAAGTCTACAATTGTTGTTGATGTGGCGATAAGTGCTTCGATCGGCCAGAAAGGCATTTTTGTTGAGGTAAAGCGCAGTTCAGAA